TGATTCTGACCCATTACTTGAATCGCTCACAACATATCTTTGGAAGCTACTACTAGAAGTCTTTGAAGTGATTCCCTTTGAAGTCCCTTTCTTTGAAATGAATCCCTTTGAAGTCCCTTTCTTCGACATTCCTCTCTTGGTCTTAGGGGCCATTTCTGCAAAATCCACAAGAAGCAAATCAAAACACCTAATTTCAAACCATATACATCTACTCCCAATTCATATCAAAACCGCAAACACATTCGAAATCCTAGTACAGAGAAAGAAAAAGAACAAGTCCATACATCTCAAATTGAAACCAAAATCCAAATTGATTTTTCTTCAAACTCTAATTTCAAACCCGATACATATATCAAAATCAAAACCCGACATCTCCTTCGAAATCAAAACCCATTCGAAATCAACACTAATTCATATCAAACCCCGACACATCTCCTTTTCAAACCATAATACTAGTACAAATCAAAACCCCAAATTAATTTTACTTCAAACCCTAATTTCAAAATTGACTCCAAATATTATCAATTCCCGGTATATTCATATCAAATTCGTAGTACAAATCGAAACCCTATCATCTCGCAAAACGAAAACCCAAGAAACCCCATTCAAAATCAAAACCCCTTTTTTGAAAATTGCAAGATGTTATTGAGGGAATGGCTTACCGCGACGAGATGGGGAGACGGAGACGCTGCTAGTGACGACGGTGATAGTGACGATGACAGAATGAGCAAACGTTTCCGATGGAAGAGAATATGATAGATCGTTTCAGAGAGAAGGAGAGAGAAAGAGATAAAAGAGTTCGCGGATCTGTTTCGAAAAGATGAGCAAACATAATTTTTTTTTCTTTAGTTTTTTTGTAATATGTCAAATTTATTAAGGGCAAGCTTGACTTTAGCCACATTTTTAATTAAAAATAAATTAAAAAAATAAAAGTGTTTATAACAAGGGTTTATTAAGTTTAAAATTTGTTTTGAGGGTCTTTAAGGTTACAATCCGTTTACAAAATGATAGTACTATGTTGTAAATACATATAAGTTGATTTTTCATAATAAAATTGTCGGTAAATTGTTATACACA